GGATGTTGTAATACATGATCTTCAAGTTTTTTGTAAGCTGCGTGATATGCTTGTTGAAATACTGGACAAAATGCTGTTAAAGGAAAATTAAATTTTTGTAATACTAAATCCATAGTTGATCCAACATTAGTCATAGTTTTTCCCATAGTTATTCGTGCTTCAAGCTGTTGTAATCTTTGTTCAATAAATGGAAACATTGGTTTATTTTCTTGTTAAAAAAAATCAAGATCAGCTACAAATTGCTGTGCATTTTCCTGAATAAATGTTAAATATATTTCAATACGCCCATTGATTTGTTGGTCTGTGAAAGCTGAATTTATCTTTTCAATTATTGGAGTTGAATTTTCTTTGCCTTCTTCATTATAAAATCCACGAATATAATCCAAATTTTGATATACATGAAATGCTATATGAAACCAAGTATTCCATCTTGTTGTATTAGATAAAGGTATATTTTTTGGATTAGATACTCCTTGACGTTGAAGATATGATATGTAACGTACTTTTCGACTTCTACTATAGACGAAAGTTTGTTTGATATTTGCAAGTAATTGATGCACAACTTGAAAATAATTAATTGACACCCACGCCTCTCTAAAAAATAAAAATATTTTAAATTACTTTTTAATGTATTAATAATTTATATTAAATAAAAAATATACTAACCCAATAAGGTTTAATATGTGTGCTAAACAAGGCAGATGGACTAGTTGCGGCATGAGTGGTTTTAATACATCACGATAGCATTTCTTCATATAGGCTGCAGAATCTGATGCAATTAGTTGTGGTAGATCAAAAGAAATTCCCCATTGAACCAAAGTTTGAATTAAAAGTTGTCCAATTGTACAATTGTTAACATTTTCTAAATAATCAACATGAACTAATTTTGTTACACCATTATAGCTAAAAAGTATATTAACTACACTTCGTGCTTTACTATCTGTAGTTTCATCTATAATAATTGAAACTTGTCTGCCACGAAAATATTCTTTGAGTTGATTAACATGATCTTCAAATAATTTTGGTAAATAATCACGACGCAAAGTATCTGATTTTGGAATAAAGCCTCCTTCATTACAATTTTCACACAACCAATTTTGAAGTTTATCTATTTTTTCTAATGGAATATCAGCTGTTACAAATGCATCTACTAAATTATTTACAGCAGTTTTTTTAATTTCAGATGCATTAAGGATAGTTTGAATAGTTGGTTGTCTTTTTTTTATTTGTTGTTCTTTTTTCTCATTTTTATTACGAATATGTGTTTTAGAACCTATATGAGCAGTAATTGTATTTTTTGTTTGAAAATTAATACTATGATCACAAAAATGGCACATGAGTTTTCCATTATCCGCAAAAAAGTCTTCAGAAAATTCTCGTGCACGCGAAAAAACAGTAACCGTTGAAGTTGGAGGCATTTTGATAAATTTCATTTTCATCCCTTAAAAAATTTTTTAAAATACGCTAATCCACATCTATGATTGGTTAATTATCACGTGTTGGAATAAAATCATTAAAATTTATGAAAATTCCATAATACAGCAAAAATTCCGATTTATTCATTTATTATAAAAATGGAATTTTCCCATCCCATCACACCCCATTCGGGTGATCATCAAAGGTTATAACCTTACGATTTATGTCACAAATGCATAGGTTATAACCTTATATGGGCGGCCCATGGGCCATAATTTAATGTCACGTGACCTGATTTTTAATTCTGGCCCAACATGCGCAATTTTGGCATGTTAATTTTGGAACACAT